GCTTAGATACATGTGCTTCCAGAGTACCCTGATCCATTAAAAAAGGTAAATAATTCCTCTAATCAGTGCATAATTTTATTTGAGCAGGTTACTATTCATAGTATCAGCGATAATTTTATTATAATAAGTTAATTCATTAAAATACTTTGAACTAATTCAGAAAAGGAAATGTCTCCTAGACACTTTTTTCCCCAAAAAAAAATCTCAAGGGAGGTGAGAGTAGTTAGCTGCCAAATGACGCAAATCTATAATGTGAAACAAGGAAATTCCAAAGTGAGATGATTAACAAACAAACACTTAGAAAATTAAACATTATGAAATGGTTGGTAAGTCAAGCAATATGCAATCCAACCTACAGAAAACAAGCGTCCCAGACTCCTCAACTACCTGCACACCAACCGTGCACTCTTACTCTGACAGTGTCAGGGTCCTGACCAGAAACTCTGAGCTTCCAATAAGAAACCTTGAACCCGCACTGCAGAATCTGATATAACTGACTCTTAAGAAAAGATTATAACTATGCTCATTTCGAAGGAGCAGATATGGAACCATAAGTAATTTTATTCCATTCATTTAACCCCTTCATCTCAAGACTTTGTTGGTTCAATAATTTATATTTAAAAGACAATTGTTTTCCCTGCATCCCACCAGTATTTGTTGTTAGTTGTTCTTTTGATCTTTACTGTTCTGGGGTAAAATGAAATCTCAGAGCAGTTTTGATTTGAATTTTCCTAATTCAAAGATGATAAATATTTAAAAAAACATATCCCCAAACCCATTTTCCAAACGTGTCAACTTCTTTTTTTTGTTTTGTTGTTATCTGTGGTGGCAGTGATGAAGGTGGTAGTAGCAGTGGTCAGTTTTTTGTCTTGTTTGTTTTTTAACTCTGTTTTTAGTTTTTTATATGTCCTGGATATTAATCTTCTCTTCAATATACGGCTTGCATTGATTCTCTCCAACTCTGTAAATTTCCTCTTCACCTGATTAATAGTTTCTTTACCTGTGCAGGCCTAACAGTTTCACTGAGTCTCATTTGTCAATTGTTGACCCTAATTCTTGGACAAAGGGAGTCCTATGAGAGAAGCACATTCCTGTAGCTATATCATATAGAATATTGCTTATGTTTTCTTCTAGTATTTTTTGATGGTACATTCTGGCTTTTATTTAAAAAGTGATTTAATTCAATAATTCAATTTGTTACTATTTGAGAAGTACACTGACTTCCCAGTATTGGATGGCAATGAGGTTTAAGCAGTCTTCTGGGCCCTCAGTTCCCTCTAATAGAAAGCAATACGGAAACTCAGCAGTGAACATTTTCTGCTGCTTATGTAGACTCAACTCCAGGAGGATAAAAAATGTGAGAATATATGTAAATCCTATTAGAAGCATTCCCATTTCCAACACTGTCCTCTAATAACACGGTATACCAGCTGTTCCCTCACTGACCAGTAAACTCAAAATGAAGATAACAGGATCCTCACTGATACCATTCCTTGTGAGTTTTTACATACTGTTTTATATACAAATGTGTGCATATAATACACATACACAGATATGAGTGTTAAGAATTGAGAATGAACACCAGTATCCACAAATGGCATGTCTGTATTCTGAGACTCTATTAAAACCTATTTAAAACATCTCATAATACATGTGTGTTAAGGAAAGCTCCAAAACTGGCCATCTCCTAAAAACCAAACCAACCTCTGGTGCTTTCACTACCTCTCACTCCTCTAATTAGGATAAGAAGGAGACCCATGAAAACTATTGTCAGAAATAGTGATTTCTACTAGCCAGACTCAGCTTTGCAAGCCAACAGGTGAACCAGGGGTCTTTGTCCATTAGGAGTCCTGAACATTTTCAATTAATACCTTCATTTTACCTGTAGACTTCAAAATATGCAGACCAAACAGGGCCTGGTCTGAGGTGGCCTCTCATTCTGGCTTTGGAATTCCTCTCTCAACTTCACCCTGGCTATTGTTTCGATACCGATTAACAAACTTCTTTTTCAGAGCCTCTGCTATGAGGGCAGCAGGGTCAGTAGTATCCACTACCCTAGGCTTTACATCTCTCTCTGACCTCTTAACTGAGTGCAGTTTCACACTATTCATGTCTTTAATGATCTCTAGCATATTTGACATGTCAGGCGGCTTTGAGTTGCTCTTAGACAAAGTCTTTCCAGCATTGAGTCTTTGCTCTCATCACTCTTTAATAAGATCAACAGCAGACATACTTTGGTGGAGTATTGATGGAGGGGGAGGAGGGGGTGAGGGTGGAAGAGGGGAAAGAGGTGGATGTGCTGCAGTGGAAGAATTTAAATGACTTCCACTAAGACCCTGTGCTCCTTCAGGTTTACAATCTTGGCAATCTGAGCTCTAAGGGCAGCGAGCTCATTCTCAAGTGCCGATATCTCCTGCAAGGCCTCCTCACTGGCAGTGTTGTCTTTGGAGAAGGCTCATCTTGAGACAAGTTTGGTAAGGAAATGTGTCTGCTTGGGGGCTTCTCAAAGCAAAGAAGTTCATCTTCAAGGGGAGACTTGGACCTGACCTCTTCTCTGAGTCTTGTTGAGCACTCCCCTTCTTCTGTGACTATCCAACCAAAATCAGCAAAAGATGTCACCACATCCTTTCCTGGGTGGGTGGGACCCATTCTGTTGCATGGCTGGTAAGCTGACATTGAACTCTTGGACACTGAATCAGAGACAAGTTGGTACCAATCTTCCTTACGATATTTCGAGACGAACCATATGGCTTTCCAGACCAAAGTACCAACTGCGTGCTGACCCTAACTTGCTGAACCACTAACCTCTGCATGCACTTAATCCAGCCCAGCATTTAGTGTCTGCATCTTCCCAACCTTCAGTTCAAGTGCTTCAGGAACCCATAGCAGCATATGGTCCATAGAGTACACTCCGCTGTGCCGCAGTCCACCTTCTTCTAGTATTTGAAAAAGAACTATAGCCAGGACTTTCACTAATATTTCTATAATTAGGATTATTATCTACTCTAGTTAGTTACTATCTTTGCTATCTTTATTTGCAAACAGGATTTTCTGTGTCATAAGGCCAGATGGGTTCTACTAAAGCTTAACTATTTTCAACTTATATTACATTATCATTATCATATGTAACAGATACATTTATAACTGTGCCTCCTCCTTTGTTGATAAATAAAAAAGATACACAGTGCATATTTTACTTTGGGGAAAAGTAAACTTAAAAATATTTCTGAATGTTTTATTATCACTGGAGGATGGAAGAGTAATATTAAAAAACTGTGAGTTGTGATCATTTGGACTCTAGTCTGTTTTTTCTCTACTATGTTTGTTGCTTTAGTTTTGTGTTTGCTTTTTCACCAGTCTCTCCTTAATCCTTTGTTTTGCTTTCTCCTTTCACCAAATACATGGGCCTGGTTTTTAGGAACCCTTCCACAGCCTTCTGGAAGATTAGATATTTATGTTACCGAAAAGCATTATTTCTACCTCAGCCTCTTTAGTCTATTTAGACAAAATATCTCCCTCCTGACTTTTTAGGCCTCCAAAGCTACCTCTTCTCTTTCCTACCTTCTACTTTCTCCCTATCATCTTTATACCAATCACTATACTTACTGAATTTTCTTCTTTTTTATTTATGGATATATAAGGATATAATATGTTAGTATACAAGGGCAATTGAATTCTATTCCATCAAAACACTGCAGATGACACATGCTATGCATGACAACAAATATATTAAGACAATTTTACCATTTAATCGTATATACTGTCTTATGGCTTCTGCTGCAAGTGAGGCTGGCCTCTCAGCAATGGCCTTTTCTAGGCTATCATTAGCTCAAAATCTTAGCATCTCCATCACTCTGCCATGCCTTCAAAACCAGCAGCACTTGGGAAACTCTCACACATTATCAAATAGAGTTGCAAGCACAAAGAATAGTCTTGGCTCTGTCTGTCTTTCTGTGTGTTGATCAGGAGAAAGTATTTCCCAAATTTTTCCTCAGTTATGCTGATCTATTCTGAACCACAGCTGTTTCTTCAACTGCAGATAATCAGTATAGATTGTCCCAATAAGGCAAAAGCTTCACTTTAGTGATTTTGGTGTATTGTTAGTCAAAGTCAGTTCTTCAGCAAAAACTGACCAGAATCAGAGGTTCTTAATTAAAAATATTATGTAATATACTTATAGAGCCTTTTCTTCCCTCTGAAATTTCACAAGCTAGGCCTCCATCACAGTTAGTCTCCACATTTTTATTTTCTAAGATCTCATAGAACATTCCACTGAGCTCTAAGCACTCCATAACTTTTTCACTCCAAAATTCAATGCCAGCATGATTTAGGTTTTCCAGATTCTTTGTCTCTAGTACCATTAGTTCAAAGCTATTATTTTTCTTTTTTTAATTTTTTATTCATTTTACATACCAACCATGGTTCCCCTGCCTCTCTTCTCCACATGCTCCCTTCCATCTCCACCCCCATCCACTCCTCAGAAAGGGTAAGGTCTCCCATGGAGAGTCAACAAAGTGTGGCACATTCAGTTGAGATAGGATTAAGCCCCTACCCCGGCACTGAGGCAGAGCAAGTAATCTGACCAAAAAGTCAGCTCATGCACCAGAGATACATCCTGGTCCTGCTGCCAGGGGTACCACATTCATAAAAGGCTATACCCAACAATAAAATAATAATAGAATTACAAATTTTAGAATTGCAAAAGTTGGATGCCCAATAAACATGAAGACATGATCAACTTCAGTAGCGACAAAGAAAACTAAAATTGCAGTAATTACCAGTTTTGTTTGTATTGCATTCACAAAAGGACCAAAGATCTCACAATGACAAATGTTGGTCCAAATAAAGAGCATTGAAAGTCGAACTGCTAAAATTAATTACTGAATGTTTATTTCCAATTAGAAGTATGTTCAGTGAGGAGAAATTCATTTTGTGCCTGTAGTGAACATTTTACTCCACAGCTTTGCCATACAAGTTTTAATCTCAAGGTTTCTCAGGGTTTATATTAAAGGATTCAACATAGGAGTGAAAATTGTATAAAATACAGTAATAAATTTATCAATAGGAAAATTAGAGACAGGTCTAACATACATGAAAATGCAGGGAACAAAGAAGAGGACAACCACCATGATGTGTGAGCTGCAGGTGGACAGAGCTTTGTGTCTCCCTTCCTGACTGTGAGTCTTAAGAGAGTTTAAAATGATTCCATAGGAGACAAGGAGAAGGATAAAGACCACTACAGACATTGCTCCATTATTGGCAACTACAGTGAGGCCTAGGAAGTAGGTGTCGGTGCATGCAAGTCCCAACAATGGGTACATGTCACAGGCAAAGTGGTCAATGACATTGGGTCCACAGAAAGGAAGTATGTACACAGAGATAACTTGAAGCAGAGCATGAGCAAATCCGCCAACCCAAGATGCCAACAGCAAGAGAATACAAACCTGACGATTCATGATGGTCAAATAGTACAGGGGCTTACAGATGGCAGCATAGCGATCATAGGCCATCATCACCAAAATGAAGACCTCAGCACCACCAAATAAATGCTCCACAAAAAGCTGAACTAGACAAGTTGCGAAGGAAATGGTCTTTTTATCACAAACTAAGTCTTTAAGCAATTTGGGCAAGATGGCAGTGGAATAAACGGCATCTGTGAGTGACAGAAAGGCAAGAAAGAAGTACATGGGAGAGTTCAAGGAGGGGCTGGCAATCACTGTCCCCACAATGAGCAGATTGCCCACCATTGTCACAATGTAGATGAGTAAAAACATGACAAACAATGCTTTTTGGCCAGCAGGATCCTGAGTGAGGCCCAGGAGGATAAACTCTGTAACATTGTTTTTCTGTCCCATTTACTCTACTATTATATTTGTTTCAGAGATATCAGCTCAGCAGAACAGGACCTAACATTGTAACCTACACCTACATTTACTTTATGTCAGAAAGCACATCTTCATTAACATCTTCTAAGTGGTGAACTTCAGTGTATCTTCAGTAGCCATCTGTTGAGTTCCTCTTGGGGATTCTCCATAGTTCTGCTCTAATAATTTTACACATATTAGTATTTCTCTCAAAATGTAAAACTGGTTATTCAAAACATATTACATCACAAAACACTGAAGAAGCATTACTCCTTTTACAATAAATAGAAAATAGTGATGTCAATAAACCTTATGAATATCAACTAGTATACACAGGGAGTTATCCAGTAATATCTTAGCAGAAAATGTCATAATATGATCTGTACATCACCCAAAACAAGAATGGTCCTGGATCATCCATTATTATATTGTAACTAAATATATTTCAAAAGACTTCTATTGTTCAAATATCTTTTATTTAGTCTCAAAAGAATTTCTTTGCACTGTGTCTAGTAACTCTAACATTATTTTGCACAGAACCACCTGTGTCAATTATTTTATTTGGTTGTTTGTCAGAGCTACCAGGAGCTAAAATTCTGTCCATTTCACCACTGGATCTCATATTTAAATGGACTGCAATTGTTCCACATCATTTTAACTGAAATGAATTAACCCACAACTGTCACTGACTGCTGTACCAGTTGAGGTTTTTTTTTCATAACTCTTGTGATAATGTCTGTGATTAAATAGGAGACATAGAAATTAAAAGATGGATAGTGGTGCTTCCTGAGGTTCCCAAGTAGAAATTCAGTGTCCAAGTCTCCAAATACAGAGTGCTCACAAAATCATTATAACTATCATGGTAAGACATGACTGTGGATCATTTACTATACATATTATAAATGTGAATCCATTGCAATTTCTATGTTAAATAAATTAGACAACAGAATTTAAGAGTTTTTCAGCTTGTTTCCAGCATTATTAGCTCAAAGCTATCTTTTTAAACAACGCTGTCATAGTTTTATTTATTCACCTTTGCATAATCAATCTATAAGCTTATATTCACTACATTAATATTACTAATTATGAATAAGTGGGATATGATAGTGACAGTAAATAATGATTGTAGATTTATTATTCTACAATTTATTTATCTGCTGTCTATGAAATAACCCCAGACACACTTTGAAAAAGAGAGAAAGAAAGAATAGCATGGTGGTGAATTCTGTGGTCATGAGCTTGAGTTAGTGTCAAGATCATTCACTTACTACTTATGTTATCTTACTTCAGGGATCTACAACATCCTAGGGTGCTTTGTATAGTTTTGAATTTTTCCAGTTCTGCTCAATTACTTGTGACATCTAAATGAATATTAGCTATTAGTGAATCTCTTCTTGTGTCATTATATAAGTTACAAGAATCCATGAGAATCTCTGTTAGTGATTAATTATTACAATCATTCTTTTGGGTACAAAGAATAGTCTCTGAGTACATCATGATTAACATTTAGGACATAGGTTAAGCATATATTAAAAATTGTGTATTGTAATATATTTAAGTGCTCACAACAGTTACCTTTGAAGGAATATGTTTCAATGAGAAGCAATCAAGGAAAAACTCATTTACATGATTTAATAGTGGATAAGGCCAAAAGAAGTCTTCACTTCCTTCAGATGGCAGCAATAACAAACCTTCCCCATGACTGAAAAATATTTCTATTGTTACCTGATATAGAAGATCTACAGTTGCCATACTTGAAGCTTTAGGCTGATGAAGTCACAATGAAGTAGAGCATAAGCACAGAAAAATATCCAGTTCTGTCATTGTCACACATTTTTCTGTATGTTTTAGCACCTTTCACACTTTAATCAGCATTGATTTCCACCAGAACAAATATTATAGAAGCCAATAGAGTTATTATATAACAATGTGAGAACAGAATACTTCAGCCATATCATATTTAAACTAATGAAAATCACGTTATAGATTACTAAAGATCTGATTCCATAAAAATTGGAGAAAATGAATGCTTTCCATTTAAATTGCTGTTAACAATTTTAAGAAAATTTAACAACGAAATAGGAAATAATATCTTTATAAAAATACTCTTACAAATATGGAAGTTTTTCTAACCATAAAGAAAAATAAAATGTATTATTTTCAAGCTAAAGAACACCAAGAATCCTTTCTTTCTGCCTAGTTATATGTGTTTATATGTAGAATATCAGAGGAAATTGAAACCATCCACAAACTTTCATACACAAAAGTAAATGCTACAAAAAAGTACAACAAGGACTAAATATCAAATGACAGCATACTCCAGCTTGGCAGTGGTTTTGAGTTTTCAAAGGCCTTTAGATCATTTAATTAGGAAAATAATTCTTCCTTTTATATTAGTTGTGTGGGCCCATCTATTTTAATCAATAAGCTAGTTAAGATATTTGGAAGCAATTTAAATGAAGCAATGTTTCATGAGCAGGTTTCTTCACTTCTGTAATCCCTGGAGGTAAGATCCTCAGATCTTGCCAACAATAAGTAATTTATTCCAAAGGTGATTTGGAAAGTCTATAATGTGAAAAGAAAATTTCCAAAGTGTAATGTATAGGAACTATGAGTTGCACATAATGATGTATTTGCAATAGGAAATTAATGATTAACCCAGGATGAAAAGGCAGCAGCTTCTGTGCCTGCATTAAGAACACCACAGCAAAGCATGGTCTCTAACAGTTTAAAAAGCCTTGAGGTACAGAGGCTGAGGATTGGGCCTTCCTCTTTGAGCTGAAAATAGGTATTTCTCCTTTTGGAGAAACAAAGATTTTATTAATTCTCTCCATCTCAGGGTACTACTCACTGTTCTCCATTCTTTTTTAACATGAAAATAAAAATTAATGTATTTTGTTTTTAAAAATTCAAATTTGCTCCATTCTAACTGACCACTACTACTCCTGCCACAGCTAACTTCTAGGCTTCTACCAGAATCTACCCCATCCACTCCATTTCTTCAACCCAGCAGACATAGCATAGATTCACAAACAGTGCACAATCCTGGTGCAGGAGAATTGTCTGTATTCTGACTTATAGAGATCTCTGTGTGAAATACTTTGGGGCTAAACAGCAATGGGAACCGGGCAGGACAGAAACCCCAACAAACAGCCCCTCATGTTACACAATCCTAGTCTGGGTTTTCTGTCCTCCATACCAAAGGAACTCTGGTCTTCAACCAGGATTCTCCTTACTTATCTGTCAACCACAAGATCTTCCACATCTAAACAAACTTTTCTACCCAGACTCTTCTCCCTGCACACTGCCAACTTGTAACACAAAGATTATCCTGTATACAGTCCCACTTCCCTTTGTCTTAACATCATTCCCTCAAAAATCCCTAGCCCCCAGGCTTCCCCCTTATCTTCTCTTTTCCTAACTTCCTTTATCTATATCAAGTACAAAACTGACAAGAGGAGTACATTGGCCCAGATATCATCATAAGAATGTCAACAAAATGAAAAATCAAGCCATATTTACTATGTTAATACTACCCATCCATGAGCATAAAAGATTTCTCCATCATCAATTATCTTCTCCAAATTCTTTCTTCAAAGACCTGAAGTTTTAATCATGCAAGTCTTTCACGTTCTTGGTAAGAGTTACTCCAAGATATTTTATATTATTTAAGGATATTGTAGATGGTTATGTAGTTCACTGCAATTTGTATAAAGGAAGGCTAATTATTTTTTAAGTTATTCTTGTATCTAGCCAATTTGATGTGATTCTTTATCAGCCAAAAAATTTCCCTGGTGGAATTTTTAGGGTTATTTATGTATACTATCAAATGGCTTTCCTAACCAAAACAATTTACAAATTCAATGTAATTCCCATAAAAATTCCAACACAATTCTTTACAGACATTGATAAGACAACTGTCAGATTTATATGAAAAAAATAAAAGAAAAACATGATAGCTAAAACAATGCTAAACAACATAAGAACTACTTCAGGTATTACCATCCCTAATTTTAAGTTGTACTGCATAGCTATAGTAATAAAAACTGAATGGTATTGACATAAAAACTGATACATTGATCAATAGAATCAAATTGAAGACTGGGGCATAAATATGCACACCTATGGACACCTGATTCTTTTAAAGAAGCCAGAAGCATTCAACCGAAAAAAAGACAGCATCTTCAAAAATAGTGCTCCTTAAAATAGTTGTCTACATGTAGAAGAATGCAGAAAGAACCATGCCTATTATCCTGCACAAACTCAAGTCCAGGTGGATCAAAGACCTCAACATAGAATGAAATACATTGACTCTGGCTGATGAGTTAGTGGGAAATAGCCTTGAATGCAATGTCACACGAGATAACTTCTTAAACAGATAGGAAATGATTTTACCACTGCCTCATCCTATAGGGGACTAATATTTAAAATAATATTAAACCTCTAGAAATTACATACCAAATCAAATAACTCAAATTTAAAAAAAAACACGATACATATCTGAACAGAATTCTCCATAGAGGTATCTCAAGTTCCTGAGAAACCCTTAGAGAAATGTTTAACAAACTTAGCCATCAGGGATACACAAATCAAAATTACTCTGAGATTCCATCCTATACCTGACAGAATGGCTAAGATTAACAACACAAGTGGCAGCTCATGCTAGTATGGATAAGAAACAAGGGGAACATTTCTCCATTGTTGCTAAGAGTGCAAATGTGTACAGCTACTACAGAAATCAATAGAGCAGTTCTGAAGAAAATTGGGCATATACCCAAAGAGTTCTCCATCCTACCACAAGGACACTTGCCCAACTATGTTCATAGCAACTTTATTCTTTATAGTCAGAAGCAACCTAGATGTCTGTCAATAAAAAATGAATAAAGAAAATGTGTTACATTTACACAATAGAGTACTGTTCAGTTATTAAAAACAATGCCATCATGAAAATTTCAGGCAAATGGATGGAACTAGTAAAATCAGCAGCCAGC